CCTACTGTATATTTTGCTGTATAGTTCATAGTGTTTTTCAATTTCTTTCTGTTTTTGTATAGGAAGTATTCATCATGATATGGGTTGTTGTTTAATACTTACAAATTATGTATTGACAGATTCAGAGCATTCATATTTGTCCCTCATGTATGAGACCCAAATAAATCGTCTTTTTAAAATGACATACTAATCATTTATTTTAACCAAGACCTATAAATTGACTGTGTTATGAAAGCGTCTATGCAAAATTATTTGGATTTTATTTACTGTGAACATAAAGCTAAGAGATATAAAAGGTCTCATTTATATTCCTAAACTTTTAGATGTAATTTAGTTTCTAAGGTAGCTTCTAAAGTTGTTGCTGCAAAGGTAGTAAAGATTGTTAGGGGATCTCCTGAGGTTTTAAGAGAGGATCAATTGAGAGAGTGTCCTATATTAGGAAGATTTCAAATCCTGGAGTCCTGGGTGTGGGTGACTTAATTTTCCTAAGCCTTAGTTTATCCATTTAAGAAACTTTTCATTATGGACTCCTTTAAAGCTTTTATTACAGAATATTTCAAACATAACAAAAGTACAGAGAATACTATAATACACCTGATGTTTCCATTATCTTGCTTTAACAGGTATCAATACATGACCAATTGATTCATCCATACCCCTACTCACTAGTCCTTTTAATTTGAAGCTCATCAGAGAAATCTTACCATTTCATTTGTAAATATCTTAGTATGTATTGAGTGCCAAGAATATATAAGGAACTCCCTCCCATATGCCCTTCTCCCAGATTCAGCATTTAACATTTTGCTGTATTGACTTTGTCATTCTTTATATATATTTATATGTATAAATATGTATATTTTTCCCTGAACAATTTGAGAATAAGTTGGAGACTTAAGTGTGTTTTTCCTATATGCAAGGAGATTCTTTTACATAACCACAGTATAGTAAACAAGTCAAGAAACCTAATATTTACTCAAAACTATTCTCATCCACAGTTTTTACTCAAGTTTCATGTCCCAATAGTGTTCTTTATAGCTATGATTTTTTTTCTTAGTCTAGAATAAAATCTAGGCTTACACAGTGTATTTTATTGTCGCATCTTCTTTATAAGAAACCAGTTCCTCAGTCTTTCTTTGTTTTTTTGACCCTAACCATTTTGAAGAAAACAGGTAGAAAATGGCTGAAATTGTGTCTAATGTTTCCTCATGTGTTTTTGTAGGTATGCCACAGAAGTGATGATATGTTCTCAGTGCATTGTGTTAGGAAGCATATAATTGGGTTTGTCCTAATGTTGGCAATGTTAGGTTTGATGACTTGGTTAGGGTGGTGTCCCTTTGTATTTCGTAAGTTATTTTGGGGGAGATACTTAGCAACAAAATATAATATCTTGTTCTTGGCCAGACTTTAACCTACTTGTTTTAGCACCCGTTAATCATTTAGGATTCTGTAAATATTAGTATCATTAATATCTAGTTAGTTTTCACATTTCCCCTTTTATGATATTTTTTCTTTTCTATAGTTTGTTTAAAATGGGATCCAAATAAGGTTAATAGATGATGATTGCTTGATAGGACTCCTTAAGTCTCTCTTTTCCCCCCTTGTCCATCCATTTTTAAAAATTGAGATATAATTCACATAGCATAAAATCTCTTTTAAAGCACACAATTTAGTGGATTTTAGTATACTCTCAAAGTTATATAATCAGCACCACTATCTAATTTGAGAATATTTTCATCATCCCCAAAAGAAACCAGTTACTCCCTATGCCCCTGTTCTCTCAGCCTCTGGCAACCGCTGATCTACTTTTTGGTCTCTATGGATTTGCCTGTTCTGGACACTTCGTATACGTGAAATCATACAATATGTGTTTTTCTGTGTATGGCTTTTTAAAATTTTTTTTTATTTTTATACTTAGCATAATGTTTGCAAGGTTCTTCCATGTTATAGCATGAATTCCTTCATTCCTTTTTATAGCTGAATGATATCCCCTTCGATGGATATACCACATTTTATTTATTCATCAATTGATGGACGTTTGCATTGTTTCCACTTTCTGATTATTATGAACAATACTGTTGTGAACATTCATGTACAAGTTTTTGTGTGGACGTTACTATGTCTTTTAATCTGTAGATACACATTCATTCATTTCCTCTCCCTCCCTGCTCTCCATCTCCCCCCACCACCCTCTCCCCCNGTGAGGCGCACAATGGTTTAATGACTGAGTTACCCATTGAGCTTGAACCTGGATCATTTCACACTCCTTTACCATTATATTACCATCACTTCAAAAGTACCCCTGCTCCCCACACCAGTCCTTACCTTCTCCCTACTCCTCTGCTTTCAGTGCAGAGTCATTATTATAATATTGGTCCTTTGGGGACAGGGGATGACTGAACTGTGAGAATGGGATTTCAGAGAATGGCAGTTGGACTGGATGGAGTACTGGTAAACAGGAACTGAGATTGGCTAATTAAATACTAAATATTTACATAGGGCCTTTATTTCGAAGGGATGTGAAAAAAATATTTTAAATAAGTCATTAAACAAATGTTTATTGAGCACCTGTTATGTACTAGGCACTATGTTAGGCTTAGAGAAACAACAGTGAACAATACGGACATGGTCTCTGCACACAAAGTCTACGTTCCCATGAAGGGGATGAGGGAGACACATGAAAAGATAGGTTAAGAGGCGTAAGGAAAATAGTGATATCTTCTAAGAAGGAAATAAACAAGCACTTGGACAAAAGGAATAAAAGAAGTCACTTCCTTTGGATAGGGCAAGAAAGGACTTTAAGGATGTTGAAGGTGAGGCCTACAGGATGAGAGAGGCCCTGGGAGAGAGGCCACACGGTGTCCCAGAAAGGCCTTGAGAAGTTCTGAGGTCAAGTTGGCAGAGTGGATTGGAAAACCTAAATAATGATTTTAAGAACACTTGGTATGTAATTGATAAGACGGGAGAAGAAAGGACGTTATTTTGTTAACTATCTTCTAAATAGAATTTTTTTTAAGCCAAATTCCTACGATAAGCTGTCAATCACCATTGTTAAACAGAAAATTTACTTTTATGGCATGGCTCCTGGGTTTTAAAAAAAATCCTATTTGACATGTTACTGCTTAGTTTGAAATCTGGGCTACAGTATTTCTTTTTTAATTTCAGTAATATATTTTAGTCTTAGTTTTCTTGCAGAAAAGTTTTGGGAACTTTTAGGTATAAAACTAAATAACAGTTGATGAATACAGTTCATTATTTTTTATCTTCTATTCCCTCTTTTCCTCTCTCCTAATTTATTCTCAGATATAGTGAAGATAATTTCTGGAAGAAGAATATAAGGTTAAAATAGGCAACAACCTGGTAAATTTTATTTAGTCACTGTTTAGGTTAGGTGTTGCTCTTTGTTTCTAAAGATTGAGTGTATACGTGTTGAAAGAAATCTTTGCACATAATAATGAGGATGTAGTCTCAGGAAGTTTTGGAAGTTATGCTTATGGATAAATGAGCATGTTATTTGCTATTGGGTTTATTCTTTTTTGTTTGCATATTGTATAATTTATATGTATCTTCGTATTCTGTATATTTTATTAGTCTTCTGACTTGCTCTGAGCTTCATTTTAATGTTGAGTCTTATTTTCTTGGTGGGGGATGGGCAGTCACTAACTTCTTTGACCATCTGATGAGTCTCCCATCCCATCTACATTTGCACATAAGATTTTACACTTAATTTCAGGAGATTCTCTCAAAGCCCTTTTCATGGAACCCAAGTTAAAACCCCTGCTGCCACTTGGGATCTTCTGGGAAATAGGACAGAAATTGAGAAAGTCCCTTTGGGTAAACCATGGACTTTCTAAAATGGAAAGTGTCTTAAAAAAAATATATATATATATGTATATATATATATATTTTTTTTTTTTAATTTATTTTTAAAGTTTTTTAGCTGAGCCATCCTGCCACCTGTTGGCATCTCAGCTCGGGCCGGGACTCGAACTGCTGTTGCTCAGAGCTCGCACTCTTGAGAGAGCTCTTAACCAACTGAGCCACTCCACTCTGGCCCCTAAAAAAAAATTTTTTTAAATAATGTATTTTCTAAGTCTGGGATAGAAACAGACATGAGTATGAGGTTAACTAAAATGATTTTAGAGCTTAAGAAAGCCTCTTATTGCTAGAGGACATTTTAGTAAACGTGTTTGACAGAACAGAGATTTAAGAGGCTGCAACCTAAATGAAGAAAAAAAGCTGGGGGAAAAAATTCGTGTTCATCGTGGGTTCTTCTTTATACATGTCCCCGCTTTTCCCACCTGTGGGATTTGCTCAGGGCCTTCCTTTTCCTTAGACTACCCAGTCCTCCAGGCTTCACCTGTTGGACTCCTTTCCTAGCCACCCCATTTCCTCCTTTATGAAGCTTTTTTGCCCTTCCCCCAACAGGCTGTACTTCCTGCCAAGAGTGAGAAGTGGAAGCTGGAGGGGAGAGGAGGTAGTAAAGGAAAATAGTGCTGGGAATAGTGTCAGGGATATTTTACCTTTATGCGATAGTTGTGGGGAACCTGTGATGGTTTCTAATCAGATGAGGGACAAGATTACACCTGGGTTTTGGAAGGTTGGAGAGGAGATGACATGTGACCAGGCATCCTTGCTGGAGTTGGGGCTCAGTGAGGGTGGGCACCATGTATTTGCAGTGCTTAGCTCTGTGCCTGGTCACATAGGAAGGGCTCAAAGGATATTTGGTGAATAACTAAAGGTGGGGGATATTATGTGTATATATATGTATATATATGTATATCACCATCTCAGACTGCTTTTGTAAAATTGAAAAAGGTGGAAAAATGAAATTTAAAATAGGCTTATAAAAATACAAGCCCCCATTTTTCATTGTTAGGTTCAANCCCCTTCGCTTCCCCCTCCCCTCGTTCCCTCCTTCCCCTCCCCCCCGTGGCGAGGCGGCGGCGGCGGAGGCGGCGGCGGACGAGGCTGAGGCGGCGGCGGCAGCAGCGGCGGCGGCGGGCGGGGCTCGGCTCGGGCTCCGCGGGCGGGCGGGCGGACATGGCGGCCAACATGTACCGGGTCGGAGGTAGGAAGGCTCGGCCCGACCCGGCCCGTCTGGGAGCGGGTTCCGGGAGTGGGGGGTCGGGGCGAGTTCACCGTAACCCCTGGGAGCCACGGGCCCCCGGGCTGAGGGCACGGGGGGCTGGGGGCGCCGGGGCCCGCAGAGGGGGCCGGGGCTCCCCACCCCACACCCTCCTCCTCCTCCTCTCACCCCTTCCCCCACCGTGGCTCGCGAGGGGCCGAGGCCCACCTCCCCCACCCGCCCAGCGTCTCAGGGCCGGGCCTGTACTTGGGGGTGTGAATTATCAGACGCCCCCTCCAAGAACTCCCGTGGGGGTATGGGCCGTCGAACCCCCCAAATAGGGTGGTCTTTCCTCGCGTGCCTTCTAGGCTGTGGGGGTTGGAGGGGTGGGGGACATTCCCCCCATCTTCTGCTTCTCTTCAGTGGGGTGGGGGTGGGGGCGATGGGGGCCCAGCCAGGGTCACAGCTGGACAGGCCTGTTTGCGGGGACAGGGCCCTGCACCTCTCCTTCCTCACACCCTCCGTTTCTTGCCCTGCTCCCCAAGAATGGGGCTTAGTGGGGGGCCAGGGCACCGCAGCCGGAGGTGGGGAGGTGAGCTCTGCCTGGACGTTTGCTCTCCTGTCTGCCTCCTTCCCAGCCTTCTGCAGAAGAGAGAAATAAGGTCAAACAAACTTTCTCCCTACTCACGACGCCCTTTACTGGTAAAATAATAATTCAGATAAGTGGCGTGTTTGTGTGTGAGACTTGCTTGTGCTTCTGTGCTCATTAGCTGAACTCCTGATGGATGGTGTTGGGAATGGCCTGGCTAAATGAGGCCACTTTGCAGAAGAGAGACAGGAAAGAGCCACTAAGATAGACAATAACAATGCAGCCCAGCCTCTCAAATAAACACACAGTGGGAAATTTCCAGTGAGCCTATTAGATGAGGGGAAAAGCCACACTCGAAAATTTTTATTCTTTTTTGTTGAAAGGCTTCAGCAATGTTGTTTTTTTTTTTTTTTATAACAAGACCCTAAATGGATCGGGATTACATATGGTAAAATAGTGTAAAAAAGACTCTGATACTACCTCGGAGAGCTCTGTCTCTCAAAAAGTGACATCCACCCCCCTCTGTTCCCCCCCCTCATCTTCCTAGCTAGAGCTATGGAAAAGTTTTCTCAGTGTGCTTCCTCTTACCTGCTCTGCTCACCTGATTTTTTTTTTTTTTAAGTTGATTGAAATGTACTTTGGGCTGCTGAGCCTTTCAAGATGCTCGGAATTTGTCTTAGGTCAGTAGTTTTATGTGAGACGCGTACTCCAGGGCAGATTGGATTGGAGAGAAAAGATGTTGAAGCAGTTAGCATTAAAGACACATGTTTAGTCATCCCTGACTATTCAATGATGACAAGAGGTGTCTTTTTGTTTGTTATGAAAGAAGTGACATGTGTGGGACAAGCGTCTAGGAGAACTTGATAAAACATTAATTGAAATGAAAATGCAGGGAAATAAGGGTCTGTGAATACAGTAGGCACATGAGAGTATATTGAGGTTGTATTACTAAGTTTGCTTTTACCAGGGAATGAATTACATGCTTCATTTTGAATATGAATTGCCTGATACAGAAAGTCATATATTGACAAAGTGAACTTTCTGTTGAAAAGATTAAGCTCTTTACTTTCTTTAATTACAGATTATGTCTACTTTGAGAATTCCTCCAGCAACCCGTACCTAATCAGGAGGATAGAAGAACTCAACAAGGTATACACTTGGTGTTCTTGATTTTAATATTAAAAAATAATTGTTTTCCATAGAAGATAATTGGGTAAAGGGCATAAGAGGTGATTTTACTTTCAGTCCCAGACTCTCTGAAAGTCGCGATTTCAGATTAGAGAGCTATTTGGGATTCCGAATATTCTTTTGCTTTTCATAATTACCTCTGATATTAAATGTTATTGAATATTTAACATCTGCAGATTTCTTCAAATTGCTTAGAACTTCTCAGAGCAGGTTACTCCTCTAATTCAGTCCCCTTTTATATTTAGAGTCATATTTTGTATTTCTGCCTTTTTAGTGAATTAATTTTTTCCTCCTCTAGTTTTAGAGGGAGGACATTAGGAAATAGAATGTTGAAGGGAATTTATAAAATTCTGGACTAGGCTAACTAATAAGAATACAGTTTTGTACTTTAGGCCCAAGTGGCTTTGTACCTTAGGCCCAACGAAATAAAACTTTTGCATTAAGGTTTGTCCCTGATCACAGGTGTCCAGGACATCAGAAGCATTATGGCTTGTTTGCAGTAGATGAACTTTCACAATGAAGGCACACGAAAACGGTCATAAACTACACGAACCATAGATTTCTAACGACGCTCTGGTTTTCTCCAAATCACTTTAAGGGTTGTGTGGCTTATGAGAATTCATAGTGTTAAAATGTTTGGCGCAAGACAGCTGCTGATACCTTTCCCCCAAAATACCATCCTGGAGACTGAGTCCCCTGGAGACTGAGTTCTGAGTCTCAGGAAGCCAGATCTGGCCAAAGGCATTTCTAGTTTACCAGCCTTGAGATCTTGGTTTGCTCTGGGATTACCATAGGGGCCCTGCATTTTGAAAACTTCTTTAGTATTTGAGACCACCACCAAATGAAGACACTGGGCTGGAAGTGTCCCTCTTTGACCTCCAAGTGTCACTCTTGCTGCTCTCCACCTCACTCATTTGTCTCCAAGCACAAGTAGACAGGCGCTGTTTCTCAAATGTACCTACCAAAGGATCGATTAATTGTTACCAACCGTACCCCTGTACTGTGCTCTTTTTTAAATTTTTTTTGGATGTCTTAGTCACCTTCAAATATACTTAATTGTTGTGTTTATTTTCATTGCCTGTTTTCCCAAATAGAATGTAAGCTGTCTGTGTGTAATGATCTTTTCTGGCCANCCTCCCCCCTCCCTCTTAATATTTTGTTGAAGATACCAGGTCGTTCATCCTGTAGCGTTTCCTTTGCTCTGGAGTTTGTTTATTGCATCTCTGCTGTGTCTTTTACCGTGTTTCTCTGTACATGGATAGTTACATCCAGATTTTAGAGGACCTAATCCAGGTTTTTTTTTTTGCGGGGGCGGGAGCCGGGGGAGGTGGTTAGGAGGTACAGAATTACTTCATAGGTATATTGTGTACTTCTTCATGTACTACTTCATGAGGCCCATAATGTATTGTCTGTCTTTTTTTTTTTTAACATTTTACTTTGAAATAATTTTAGATTTATAGAAAAATTATTAAAAATATTACCAAGAATTCCCATATGCCCTTCACCCAGATTTCTCAAATGTTAAGCTTTTACTATATTCCCTCAATTATTCTATCTATGTACATATTATTAGTATTTTTGAACCATTTGAAAGGACAGTGAAGACCTATTTCCCCTAGCCCTTAAAGATACTTCAGTGAATATCTTCTAAGAACAAGGATATTCTCTTATCTAACCTCAGCATTATGCTACTGTATAAGCTTATTCAGATTTTGCAGCATTTCCTACTAATGCCTTTTATAGCAAAAAATTTTGAAAAAGGATTTTTAAACTCCTTATGTAATGTTATCAACCATTGATTGATTGCCTTAATCTTTTAATTCATTAAAGTTACAAAAATAATACTTTTACTTCTATCATGCCCTCATTTGTTGAGTGGAATATTTCTATGAAGAGAATATTTCCTCTGTCAATTATCAGGTTACTCTTCAGGTTCAGATCTTATAGGAAAGGGGTGCTAAATGCTTGATGTGGTTTTTCTTCTTTTTGGTTAACAGTTTTCAAAAATAATGAGGTGGTTCCTGGTATTCTCCAAAGATTGTCAGTTTATTTCTTTTTTAGTTTCATAGTGAACTTGAGGATTTGGACATATTTGATATTATCAATTATTGTCCTTATTGATACCCAAGTTGTCCCATCTCCAGCCGCTGGAGCTTGTGTAGGTTGGTTCTTGAGTCATTTTGAAATAATCCCAGTAGTCTTTATTATCTTACTTGTTTTCTGGTATGACAAGCTGTTTCAGGATTATCTTTTCCACTTCTTGCCCCAGACCTTGTCTCCATGGAGCCCTGATTCCTTTTACTGGGAAATAATCTTGGTGACTACAGTCTGGTCAGGGATAGACTCTTTTTTGAGAGAGGGCGATGCTATGCCTAAATTGCCATTTGTTTTAACAGGTTGTATTATTTTGTGGTATATTCTTTAGAACTAAAAGAAATCTGACTTGAGTACTTGTTACTGATTCTTCTAAGGTAATTTTACCAAAGCCAGTGTACAAACTTTGTGTTTTAATAGCAATCTTGTTTCTCTTAACCTATTGAAAATAGAATTTCACCTTAAAAAAGTGATGCCAGTTTAGGATGGACATAGTTCTCAGGGCTGATGGACTCCTTGAGAATGTCATGGCTACTCTTTATGGCCTTTTTGCATTAGATGTTTTTGACATATTATGTATTTTTATATTGTGATTCTTAAAATGTAAAGCTTTAGAAAATTAGGTGTTGTGTCTCCTCATCTTTAACCTGTTAGGCAAAAGGTAGAGTGTTTACTTACAGCTCATTTCCTTCCTTAGAATTTTCTTCCTAGCTTTTCAGTTTTTATGTCACTTACTCTGGGCTGAAGTTGGGACACAGGGAAAAATGGAATCAATAAGAATAGTTTTTTACTTACAAATGCTCACTCCCTTTCCCCCTGCTTTTCCACTACAACACGCATATCGTTGGAGCTTTGTGGAAGAAGTGGAAAGAAGATGGTAAGATTTATTTATACCTACTCAGAATTATAAAATCAGAATTAGCTGTTGGAGAGGACAGGGGATAAGCTTATCCCACCTACGTTAAGTCCTGTTCATATAGTTTACCAACTGATTGATGATTCTGGCATTTTTATGTTCTTGTAAGTAGAACCAGAAAGTGGTGTTGACTGTTAAAATTTTGAGACTCTTAAAATAATGAGACATTTCAGGGTGTGGTAATATTATTAGGCAATAAGGTGATGATTTGTTCAGGTAAAAGGTGAGGTGTGACTTCTATACACAGTTCTTATCACATCCTGGCTTAAGCCATGTTCTTATAAACTGTTTTGGTGTCAAAGGGCACATTGGGAACTTTTATTTTTAAAGATTCATGCAGTATATGATTAAGAATTATTAAAAAGATGTAGAATGTTTAATATATTTCACGGGGTTTTTGTACTAAAATGGGATTTTATAAAAGAATTGACACCTCTTTTTAAAAAAATTTAGAACCAGTAATCACATTGATTGTTACTTTAAAGAACTGAAATTGGATGTTTTGAATACATCTGCTTTTCTAGGTTTGGCATATAATTTGTGCATTCTGAGTATTCAGTGTTAAATTCTTTAATGTTGGGCTCATGGTCTTGATTATCTTTCCAGCCTTGATATGTCATAGTTGCTCCATAAATGTTTGTAGCTTTAAATTTGCCAGGGGAACAAATCTGAATAGCCAGGCTGCCAGTTGTTTTGTTTCAGCATGTTGGTTGGTTGAAAACAATCTCTGGTGGTTTTAAAAGCATGGTCTCCAGATTCTTTGACGTTCCTTCCATTGATAGGTAGGGCCCCTTGGATTTGATCTGGGTGGGGCTGTGACCAATACAACACGGTAGAAATAATGCTGTGTGACTCCCAGGGCTAGGTCGTAAAGGGCCATGCAGCTTCCGCCTGGTTCTCTTGGAATGTTTGCTCTCCGTATATTACTGCTTGGAATTCAGCCACCATACTGTAGGAAGACTAAGTCACGTGGAGAGGCTATGTGTAGGTGCTGTGGTTGACAGTCGTTGCTGAGCCCAGTGCCAGACATGTGACTGAAGGAGCCACTAGCAGCCTCAGCCTTTTGAGTTCCTATTGAGGCCCCCCTCATCATTGAGAAGCAAAGACAAGTCTTCTGTGCTGTGCCCTGTCAGAATTTCTTACCCTCTGAACCAGTGAGCAAAATAAAATAGATGCTGTTTTATGTCACTAAGTTTTGGGATGATTTGTCACTGAACAATAGGTAACTAAGACAGGAATCATAGATTTTCTGTTTTTGTGTATTTTTAATGACAGTTTAGCATCAATATCTCTAAGCTTATGACTGTCTCCTAAAAATATTATTTTTTTAAAGTCAAGCTCATTTTATTTTGACGGATTGTGTAAATGGAGAGATCTTGCACTCACGCCTTACCCTGAATATTTTCCTTATAAATTATTTTTGTCCACAGTGAGCACAAGTCAGGAAAATTGCCCTATTTATTCTGAAGTGAAATTCATCTATAGCATAACTCGTACATATAATGTAAAAAACAAAACTGAAAATACTGTGTTTTTACTGAAACAAAAGAAAAAATTTATACTAGAATAACAATATTATATTCTATAGTATATTATAGAATATTCTATAATAATAGAATATATAATAAGATCGTATGTACTGTATTTAAATATGTTTAGATTTTGAGGCATGAGAATAGTGGAAGATGTAATGAAATTGTGAAATGCTTGCACGTATGCATATAATCACAAGCAATGCAGCAGTTATAAATTAGACTGATATGTTGCATTAGTAACACTAATATCTGTGGAGATTTTTCAAAATGGTACTATTTATTAGTTCTGAACAAAACAAAATACAGCCTTTTCTCATTTTATGTGATGGCTGCATTCCTGGAAAACTCACTTATGTTAAAACCATACACAAAATATTTTGTGTGCCCGTACATAAAATAGAATTAGCTATAGTGTCAGATAACAAAATCATGTTTTTAGTTACAGAGATGTCCAGAGGGACATTTGAAGTCATTTGAATCAGTCCTTTGGTATTGGACTGTCCACTATAAACCTATACATCTATAGGATGTCTGACATCCTTGTCTTCCATCTATGAAATGTTAGTACCATTCTCATTGTGGTCCCCCCATCACCACCACCCTTTTCAAAGGACTCCTTAGGGTGGACTAGCACTCATTCATTAACCACTGCACTAAACTCAGTATCACAGAATTAAAAACTATGCCTCTCTTGTTGACTAATATGTTCACTGACATTCATCATAATGCTGGGAACATGGAAGTTACTCAGTATGTCCAAATTTTAAAAACTCTTACTATTTCCCCTAATTTCAAAAAATTAGAGATTAAAGTTCCAAGCCAAAAAAAAAAATATATATATACATATATATATATATACATATATATATATGTATATATATATAAAATTGCGTATATTCAGCTAGAATTGTCTTCACCAGAGATAATTTTGGCAATACTAAGCAAAATTAAAACTCACTCTTTCCATTACGGCATACTAATCATAGACAAGTGCTCAAGAAAATGTGCCTTTGTAATAGCAAAAAATAAGAGACACTTAAGTGTCCAGCAGTAGGGTATTGAACCAAACAAAATCTATTTATTGTATATAATTCTGGAATGTCTTGCAGCCATTTGAATGAAAATAGATTTATACATATCAACATAAATAGGTGGCACAATGTATAATTGAATTAAATAATTAGATAAATGTACAAGATATAACCCCCATTTTGAAACAAATATATGAAAAGTAAAATTTTAGACATTTGTGTGAATTTCTATGTGTGTGTGTGTTTGTGTGTGTGTGTGTGTGTGTGTGTGTGTGTGTGTATATATATATGGCATGTGTATACTTATTGATCCTACAAAACAAAAACAGTTATAAAGAAAGAATCAGAATAAGAAAGTGTTTGGGGAAATTAAAAATCGTTATTGAAGTAAAATAATGAACAGAAGGGCTGAATAATAAAGACACTGATGGATTTAAGTAATAAAAATAAATGAGAGAAAGGGAGAAATTGCTAAAAAGAACATTTCCCCAGAGGTGAAGGACAAGAATCTTTAGATCAAATGAAAAAGACACAGATACTTCATTT